CATACCTATATGTGAAACTCTCTAATTGGTCAATATCTACACCTCACACTGTCTGACTTGTCCATACTTACCCTTCACACTTAGTGATTAGTCTATATCTACAAATCACATAAATTGATTGGTCCTTACCTAGTCCTAACTCTTAGTGATTGGTCGTTACTTTTCACACTCAATGATTATTCCATACTTATTCCTCACACTTATTGATTGGTCCATACCTACACTTCACACTCAAAGATTGGTCAATATATACTATTCACACTCACTAGTTTCTTCATCCCTACTTCTTACACTTAATGATTGGTCCATACCTACTCCCCACACTTCAGGCTTCGAGTAACACCGGTAACCTGTTTTGTAACCTGACGTCAATAATTTTATCATATCAATCAGTTTTAATTGCCTTTATTGTAATTGTAATATATATACTTATCATTTTCTTTTCGTTTCAATCAATCTTCACCCGGTGTCACCATAATCTATCTGCAGGTCCATATCAACACTTATACACCCATCTTTTAAAATTTGCTGTATCACAATTCCAATTACCTCTAACCCCCGATGTGATTATAAACTAGATAAGATTACAATTATCTGTATAGCAACTAAGCCTTGACCATTATGACCTTATTTATGTACACAATGATCTGTGTTTTGTGTCTGTATTTATATATTATACATAGGTCCCCATCAAAGCTTGTCAAAGAAAAGATAAAAACCTGGATAAACATGACGTTGTTGCACTTAAAAAGTAACAGAAGGAAACTATTTTCATTAGAGTTTGTGAACAAAATCACTGTATTTAAAGGAAAATGGTAGCATTTTGTAAAATATAGATGCTTCTTAATAACTGTATCAGAGATTGCCATGAACAGATTATCATTCAGTGAATTGTCGATAGCTACGCGTGTTCCTCACACTTACTGATTGATCCATAACTACTCCTCACATTTAGTTATTGGTTCTTTCCTAAACTTTGCACAATCTGATTGGTTCATACCTAGTCCTCACACTAAGTGCTTGGTCCATATCTGCACCTCACACTCTCTCATTGGTCCATACCTACTCCTCACACTTATTGATTGGTCCATATCTACACATCACACTCTCTGATTGGTCCATATATACACATCGCACTCTCTGATTGGTCCGCATCAATACTTCACACTCAATGATTATTCCATACATACGCCTCACACTTACTTGTCGCTTCATACCTTCACTTCACATCCAGTGATTGGTTTATATCTTTTCCTAACACTTAGTGATTGGGCCATACCTACTCCTAACACTCTCTCATTGGCCCATATTTACACCTCACACTGTCTACCTTGCCCATACCTACTCCTCACACTAAGTGATTGGTCCATATATGCACCTCACACTCTCTGATTGGTCCATACCTACTCATCACATTTATTGATTGGTCCATATCTACACATCACACTCTCTGATTGGTCCATATATACACATCACACTCTCTGATTGGTCCATATCAATACTTCACGCTCAATGATTATTCCATACCGACGCCTCACACTTACTTGTCGCTTCATACCTTCACTTCACATCCAGCGATTGGTTTATACCTTTTCCTAACACTTAGTGATTGGGCCATACCTACTCCTCACACTTCAGGCGTTGAGGAACACCGGTAACCTGATTTGTAACCTGACGTCAATAATTTTATCATATCAATCAGATAATACTTATTATTTTTTTATCTTTCAATTAATCTTTACCCGATGTCACCATAATCTATCTGCAGGTCCACATCAACACTTATACACCCATCTTTTAAAATTGCTGAATCACAATTGCAATTACCTCTAACCCCCGATGTGATTATAAACTAGATTAGATTAAAATCATTTGTATAGCAGGTAAACTTTGACCATTATGTACTCAAATGATCTATGCTCTGTGTTTTACGTTCTGTTTTTATATATTATACATAGGTCCCCGTCAAAGCTTGTCAAAGAAAAGATAAAAACCTGGATAAACATGACGTTGTTGCACTTAAAACGTAACAGTAGGAAAGCTATGTTCACTGGTGTTTGTGAACTAAATAACTGTATTTAAAGGAAAATGGTAGCATTTTGTAAAACATAGATGCTTCTTAATATCTGTATCAGAGATTGTCATGAACAGATTATCATTCAGTGAATTGTCGATAGCTACGCGTGTTCCTCACACTTACTGATTGATCTATACTAACACTTCACACTCTCTGATTGGTCCATAAAAACACCTAACACTCTGATTGGTCCATACCTACACTTCAATCTCTCTAATTGGTCCATTAATACATCTCACACTTTGTGATTGGTCCATATCTACAACTTACACTCTCTGATTGGGCCATATCTTCACCTCACACTATCTCATTGGTCCATATCTACACGTCACACTCTCTCATTGGTCGTCCATTTCTACACCTCACACAGTCTGACTTGTCCATACCCAGTCCTCACACTAAGTGATTGGTCTATATCTGCACCTCACTCTCTCTCATTGGTCCATATCTACGACTCACACTGTCTAACTTGTCTATGCCTACTCCTAACACTTATTGATTGGTACATATCTACACCTCATACTCTCTGATTGGTCAATACCTACTCCTCAAAATTACCTACATTTTACACTCAATGATTGGTTCCTAAATATAAACCTCCAACTGTCTGATTGGTCCCTATCCACTCTCCACACTCACTGATCGGTCCATAGACATCCTCCTTCCCTTTAACGACCGCACGGGAAATCGAACACCGGCGTAGACGAATGCGTTACCAAGACGGTGTCCGGCCACGCAATTGTGTAGAATGGATAGAATTATAAAAGATTATAAATGTATAGACATAAAGGCAATACAATCTAAATGTCTTCATAAGCAAATTACTAGTTCGTCATCATATCAACTTGAAAATGAAAATGACTCCTTATAAAGTTTACAACAATGATAGTTTTATTTTATCAAACAACGGACATTTTATGAATGGCTGTATACGAAGTCGCGTGATACCCATAATGATTTCAAAAGCAGTATAAAATAGCTTTTTCATGTAAAGTTATGTAAAATTATATCAATTGTTCTGCAGATTTGTGTTACATGTTAAGCATATTTTTCATAAACGTATCAAATTATGTTGTTGTTAACTTCGCCATTAGTAAATACAACGAGATATGGGACCTGATTTACCTGTATTTAAACAATATCTACAAAGTCATAGGAAAGATTAGATTATTTCACCTACAGCACAGTGCTTCGTATCACTCTGTCTGCTAATTATTCTAGCTGTTCCATTCCTGATTCTGTATCATGTCTGTGCATCGGTCAAAGTAGCACAGTCAGACAATGATGCACCTGGCTTTGAAGACATATTCGTGACGAATAACAAAAGTTTTGAGAATTTCCCAATACAATTCGAACAACCTTTACCAACATGGCTTCGTGGAATATTGGTAAGTTAAGTTTGTAACAAAGTTATATAATACTGTCAACACAAATTCTGATTTATTTGAGAATTGGACATTCGACTCTATTTGTCGACGTAGAACCAGAAAATGTTCCGTTTCCTTGTGTAGTTCTCTAACGGTAACAAAACAAATTTTAGATATATATAACATCATACCTGCTGTTTGTGTATCTTTTCATTAGATTCAAACAAAATTAAGGAGGTTTCTCTGTCATTCCTGTATAACTTTATCTATTTTTTTTTTAAAAAGATGATTATATATATATATATGTATATATAACCCGTGGAAATTCATATATTTCCATTAGACTAAGTTTACTGTTAAAATTTATTAAAGCCAAAATATATTATGATTTTTTTTATATTATTATTGAGAACACTATAATATTCGTAAAGATTTAAATATGATGTGGACGGTGAGGTAAACCTTGGAACATTTCTTGCCACTAACAATTTGACCGGTATGAGATCTACGGTTTGAATATAAATTTTATCACACATAATATATTCAATTCTAAATAACAGAAATTCCCGTCATTTTTAGATTGAAATAATTAATACATGTGTACGCCTAGACATTTACTCCGGAACGATCATGAAAAAGCTGCAGAAAGTCTTCAGTAAACATAAAGATATATAAACAGCACATTTAAATAAAAATCAAACACAGGTATTTCATTTATATTCGTTATTTACACTGTAAAATAACATATTTTCTTAAGCCTCAAATTTCATGGTTTTCAAAAAAATATGTATTGTTAATGGCACTTGATTTCACGGTTAGTTCTTGATTACAATATTCACTTGTACATGTACTTAATTCCATGTCAACTTGTATCTATTGATAATTTCATATAAATTCGTAGAAAAAGAATTGAACAAAAATAATTCTGCAACTTACCGTATTATTGTGGCGCTCTAGAGGTAGGGTAACTACTGAACAAGGAATAAACGGTTATATTATTGTGGCGCTCCAGAGATAGGGAAACTACTGAATTAAAAAGATTATACACATTTTTCACAAATCCGTGGATTCGTCAGTAATGCTGAGGTCCTAAGTTATTGAAACCTGGAAATCGACTTGTGGAATCTAAATTGGTCAAAATAGCTTTTACAATCTAGAGAGAGTTCAACATTACATAAATCTCGTAATTTTTAAATTTAGAATGATTTCATGGGAACATCGAGTACACATTTATTGGTATACAATAAAGACTACTGGTCACAGAATCCAAATGCTACTTGTTGATCAGTTTTCACGAGGGCAGTTATAAAGACAGTATTGGTATCTAAGTAAAAGACTTTATGCCAGGCATAAGCGTTTCTCTTGTGTTGGGGATTAAACGTCGAGGGAATAAAGATACAAGTATAACGTTTCGAGAATACTGTCATAATCAAAGGGGATTGTGAAATATACATACAATCAACTTAAACATTGTGTATTACGTAAAAGATTGATAGGATCAACATATCACAGAACATACATATCCATCGATATTCTTTATTAAGGTCAGGAATGGTCCAGGGCAGCTGGAAATGGGTAGTCGGAAATACCGGAACTATTTCGACGGATACGCAAAGCTTCACAGCTGGACTTTTCCTGGAAACGGATCTGCATTTTTTTCTGCAAAAATAATCAAATCAAAATCTTACTTGTCATCCATCCAGGAGAATGATGTTGAACCTTATCTCACGTTCAGAGGGGTTATTCCTGCCTACGATGGAGCCAAACGATTTGAATGGATGACATTGAATATGGATGATATGAACGTGAACGTCATCAACTATGCCAACAGGACGGTGGCTGTCAGTGATATATGGCAAATGTTTGAATTCGACCTCACAACTTTGAACAGTATCGGCTCCGTACTTCCACCTACACCGCCGTCAAAATTTTCCAATTTTGGCAAAAAGAGCGAAATGTCGTCTGCTCATCCTGTTCCAGAATACGGCACGCAATCAAGATTTGAAATAATCAAAACATTGAGTCTAATTCCTGGGATGAAAGATCGCTTGAGCGTGGTCCGGATCAAATCCCTTGATAACACGGAAATGGTGGCTGAGTGGGAGATGGAAAAAAGTCACTACATGCATTCGTTCTCGGTCTCTCCTAACTACGTTATCCTGATCGCGGCTCCGTACACTATCAGTATCATGAAAATGCTGGAGACTTGCTCAGTAGAGGGTGGAATGGTTTGGGACGGGAACGCCAACACTTCTATATATGTTGTAGAGATAAAGACAGGAAGGGTACATACATTACAGACGGAGACAGTCTTCGTTATTCATCATATCAACGCTTTCGAAACGCCAGATGGTAAAATTGTAATGGATCTTCCAACTCAAGTAAATCCATTTGCTTTTGACTATTTTGACTTTTCATATCTTTTCAATAAAACAGCTCGGATGGATATTCTGTCGACACCAGTCCTCAAGCGATACACAATTGACCTTCGTACAAAGACTGTGTCAAAAACAGTCTTTGAAAATGGACCAAAAGCTCCATGCGCCGGCGCACTGGAAATGCCAGTTATCAACGAAAACTATCGTCATATAAAGTATTGTTACATCTACGGCACAGTGGTCAACTACGACGGGATGGGTTTCAGTCACATTGCTCTTGTCAAGAAGGATGTATGCAACAATGAAGGAGACTTGATGTATGCTGTGCCCCACCAATACTTTACAGAGCCCTGGTTCGTCGCCACACCCGGAAGTAAGGAGGAGGACGACGGCGTGTTGATGTCATCAGCATTTGACGGGGATAAGAAAGCCAGTTACCTGCTTATGCTTGACCCTAAAACCATGACAGTCATCAACCGATCGTACATGCCAACAACTGTTCCTTTCAACTTTCACGGCAGATTCTTTGATATCGAATAATAGCATGTAGTTGAGATTCAATATTGATGAAAAAAAAGACAAACAAACAAAAAAATATTACTATTAATCAGAAGTCTTCCTCTGTATGATATTGTTTTCAAAACATCACTGTTTCCTTCGAGACATTTTCAAGTGCTCATACATTTTTCGAACCATGGTCGATTCCTCCAGGTGTGCTGACATTTTCATTTGCACGTATTCCTTTGCAAACTTAGTTATTCAGCAGTCCAAGAAAAATAGTAAGCAGAGAAGGTCATATCTTCATTCTAATGAAAAATCAATAGATTCCGACCAACGGTTGTCACGAAAATGAAAAAGAAACGCACATCTCGAAGATTCTTAAAATATATATTAGTTTCGATATTGTATTTATTAGTTTGATCTCAGGAAGAAAAAATTGTTAAGTATACATGTATATGATGACTGGGTGTATATTGGGCTTGAATTTATTATTTGTTTTGATATGTATTGACTATTGAAGAAATAAAGAATATTTTTGGCCATGAAGCATGCTTCTCTTCGTATATTCAATATAGTAAACTAACGACATTGTAATGGTGCTAAACAAGAGGGGAGGGACGTTAACAGGCGTGACTTCATCCCTTTTATCTCCACGACATAGTGACCTTCAATATGAGGCTGAAAAGTACCAATGCAAGATTGATCTGCAATTGATGTTTTGCTAGGTCAAAATGTCCTCTCTAGTAACTATGACACGTTAAATATCATTGTATTTTCGTCTCGTAAAAATTACGTCTCTGGTAAAAAAATGAATATTTCTGATAGGATAAAATTCAAATCTGGTGAAAAAGTCACTTTCGAACTCTGTTCATATCATGCATATACATGTGTGGTATGTGTTATCTATACAATTTTCTACCCTCTTACAGTGTTGATATAATTGTTTTACAATGCTGTTTGTCTATCTCGTTGTTCTGGTTTCACTTTCCCATAATTAGAGTTATGCGTATGAGGCGACAAGAAGATGTATTCTGTCACATTAAAGTTCCCTATGTTGTGTGTTCTGAGTGGAACCACACTACGAAAAGTTTCATTCCTAACGTAGCAGTCCGTTATTGGAGATATGGCTTGACATTAGTTTATATATTCCGGTGACCACTATATCTTTTTCTTATTTCATATCCTAATGTTATTCTGCCAAAAGTTGTAACATAGCTTTACAACTCAAGGTGCACAAATGTCAAAACGATGAATGTCCGAACTTTACAAAACTTTGTGTTGATTGTTTGTCGAATTAAAAAGGTTAATTATCATTTTCACCAGCCAGAATGACTAATTCTTTAAAATTGTGTACTGGGAGTTTTTAATATTACCTACTATGTTTGAAAGAATAACATAGGCTTATGGAATATCCCAAAAGTAATATGAAGAGTTTTTACGCAGTTGGCGGTTTTACTGGAGCTGGGTCGCTTTGCAAGGCCGATGGTAGATATTGGTGTATTAACAGAGAAGGCTTGCACCTGGGAGTATACGAAAAATTCTAAACCAGTGAGATATATTGCCCAATAAGGCATTGCTAAAAAACGGAAAAATCATGCAATGGGACCATTGGTTCTTAATTAACACCTTCTGATTGACGGGGAATTCTAAATTTCTAAATTTGTTTCAAAAGGTGCTATAAAATTATGTGTCTTTTAAACAATCTTCCAGATTATAGACGGTAGACACTGCTAGTGGACCCTGAATGCCATATTTTAATTCATTCAAATAATGGAAGAGTTCAGAAAATACACATGTACTTGATGGTCTTCGGAAATTTATCAAATATGGAAAATTAGGAAATTTATTGAATTATGAGCTTCCTCCTTTAGATTTAGACACCCCCCTCTCCCGCGCGATCATCTTTGATTTTCCTCTGTAAAGGCATTTCAATTGTCATTCTCACTGTTTTCATTTTCTCAAGAGTTTATGTCTCGATGTGTTTTTAGATGTTTGTTTTTGCTGTGTTTGTAAGAGTGACCTCCCCTGAAATACAGCCAGGTTGATTTTCTGTAAATGGAACACGTTCGAGCACAGGAATCGGATGTTCTGTATGTGATATATAGCTATTATACTACTAAATTAGCAAGAATCAGACGTCAGAAAAGGAATGCAACGCCGTTACAACAGGTCAGGTAAGGTATCGCCATTTACTTGTCTGTTTTTCCGTTAGACGATCTCAGTAAGAATACATCACACATGACCAGGACGAATTGTTCTTCGATCGCAACATGAATCAAAGTACTGTACGTACTGAGGACACAGATTTTAACTGTTTGATGTGAAAACTGTATATGTTGTAAATGTTATACAAACTGAAGAGTTCAAACATTATTGAAAACAACTGTAAAAATTACAAGGACAAGATTGATTTATGTACATGTAACTGGATATTCATTTTATCACAAAGATCAGGTATTTTTTTAAAAATTCAATGGCACTTTCTTAGACCATTGCGATGAGAGGATGATGGCGATAAATACAATTAAACTAATTATATTGATATCAGTAAAATGAGTGAAACTTTCATAGAAAAATAGCTCTCGCGAAATAGTCAAATTTGTGGTCTATGGGTGTAATATTTATTCTGCAGATTTTTATTCGGACCAAGCCAAAAGACTGAAATAGTAATAAAATTCCAATTCATTTGAAATAAACTTTTTGTATAGAACTATACGTTTAAAGGTTTTAGTAAGAAATTCAACGCCTGGTCGCTAACACTTTCCCTAAAATCTTCAACATTCTGTATAGATCACAAATAACTGATAAAGAATTATGTGAATATTGTGGTTTTAAAGTCACGGGATCAAAACCCGGCGACACATAGAAGTAGTAAACTGCCAATTTGCTTACAGGAACTTAATTAGAATTTCTCGTTCAGAAATAATTTAACAATAATAGCCTTGTATACACCTAACTGACAACAAATAAACGATCTTTAAAATAACGTGAAGTTTAATTTTGTATAAATTTAGAATGTATTATTTATACAATGAAAACGTCAATCTCTTGTTCACATTTTTTAAAACTTGTGCCACATCCTCTCGTCACTGTTTTGGCCAAACACCTTAATCCAATAGAATACATGAATATCAATTATAACAGATGATCGGGAAATAACTCTGAATATTTCACTTTCTTCGGGTGTTTACAAGTAACAATAGTGATGGCGGTACAAATTGCAATGTACGTGTTTCTTTTTAAAGATATTTACATCCGATTTCGCGCGAAAAAAATATATTAAAAAAATCATAGCCGGTGACCTTTAAAAAGGTTAAGCATGTCGTATAGTAAATATAAACAGGTATCAGACAAAAATGTGTGTGATACTCTTCCTAAAAACTGAGCGAAGTTCCACCATAGATTATAACTTCAAAGTTATGTAACTGCCTACATATGCAGTGCGAACGAGCTATGATAAATTATATGTGTGTGACTTTGTCGAGTCCAGTAGTGTTGATGCTGTTGAGTAAGTGTAGTGATGACACAAAAATCCAAACTCCGGACTTCATATTTTCTTAAGAATGTATATATACAAATATCTATAAAGTCTATCCATGTATTTCCAAGTAACGTTGTTACCAGTGGGGACCAGCCTGTCTCCTCCATCTCTCCGATGTGCCCTTTCTTCTTCTGGTAGATCAAAAGTAGTCTATTTATACATCGTTTGACACATAGATTAAATATATAATTATATTTAACAATTCTATCAATTATGTAAGTAATCTAATAGGGTATTATATATTTTAGAATTACTGGTAATGTATTTTTATGCTTTTTTTTCAGTTCTAAATCTGTCATTTTGAAAAATATTGATCAAAACACTTGTAAATACATTTCTTATCGATATCACAATTTAAACTCTTGAGATTACGATATTAGAATATAATGTATTACATAATGCATGTAGATTCTAGTACATATATATTAAGTAATTGCAGCAAACATTTAAGACTTAAATGTGATTTCCTACATGAATTGATTCAAATCTTTATTTTATAAATCATGTTCAACTTGTCATTTTTTATATTTTCTGTCAAGGAAAGTAGGAACAGACAATAGCTGAAAATCACTCAGGTGTAAAATTTGACATGTTGGCCAGGTAGTAGAGGTAAATTTCAGAATGTTGGCTAAGTGAGAATGAACCAATGAGGCAACCTAAGAAATAATCTGGTTTTAAGATAGCATAAGTATCGGTTTTGATTGATCTAACGTTACCAATGTATGCATACTTTCACGGTACGATAGACACGCCGCGGGCATATGACAGTTACCTGAATAATCACGTGACCGTAATATTTCAAATTTCTAGGAAGGTTTTAACTGAAATAAATTATGTAAACATGTTTATAGTTCAAAGCGTCGAAAAATATTATTTAAAAAGAGATGGACAAAGTTATGTGTATCATAACTATCCAGTTCTTATAATTGCGAGACATGTAAAATGAAAATATATAGGGTATGTAGTTTAACTTTGGAAAGAGAACATGAACAGACATTTGTCGAATTTTCTGCTAAATATTACTGGAAAACACTTCCAAATACAGCCAAAAAAGACGAAAGAACCAGAAGAAAGAGAAGGATAAAGGCGACAAGAATATGAACGCCTAAATGAAATGCACAGGGATATTCAGAAAAATGATGGCGAGAATGTAAATCTATTTGATTTAAATAATTGAAGACACCGGGTCTTGAGTAACAATTGTCATATATATACATATATGTATGTATATATACTGTCATTTGAACTATTAAAAGTTAAGATGTGAGTTAATTAAATCATTCAAAATTTTATTCAGCTAGACATAAGTCAGATTTGTGATCAAAATTTAAATGGCAGTATGAGACAAGCTTAATTTATAACTGACATCTACTGTATTATGTATTGACCAGTAGCCATAGGCATTCCGTCGTTACTAATCCGTTCCCTGGCTGTATAAGTAAGTACCTGAGGTCTATCTAAGCAGTCTGTATGAAGGTCAGTGTAACCTTATCTTGTT